TGCTGCTGCCCCGGCCCTTCCAGCAGGCCGTGTGCCACCAGCCACTGTAACCCCCGGTTGTGTTTTCAGTCTTTTCAGAAGACGAACACACACACACACGCAGCCAGAAAGGACATCTTTCCAAAGTGAAGGGAAATGAGGATCGATGCAACTGCCCCAAGTACAACTAACTGAAGGGTACTCAGCCAGGTCTCGGAGGAGCAGCATCATTAAGCACACTCCTACTGGAAAAAGCAGATAAATAAAACAAGATGCAGACTATCAAAGATAGGTGATTTGCCGTACCATTCTTGCTAATTGATAAAGTCTGTACCTCAACGAGCAGAGGTACAAACCCAGTTACACACTGTAAACATCGTTCTGTTGGAGTCCATTTTTTTCCCATTTTTCTTCTCTTGTGTGCCCATTTTCCACTTTTCAATGACTTGTCATTGCTAGAGACAGATACAACACAGAGCAGGTATTAAATGTACTTTGAGCTTTTTCTACAAAAAATGTTGCACTTTAAAAGTGCTGACATGAAAAAAAAATTGAAATTCCAAACTTGTTTCCCCAGTGGCAGCAGGGATCAGAGAAAAGCAGCTCTTCCAGGTAATGGTTTTTCTTGCTCTACTACCTCATTTTACCATCTGTCTCTCTTTTTTTTTTTTTTTTTTTTGGTGCTTAAATTATAATAAAAGCACCCCACAACTCTTAGAGAGAAAAAATATTTTAGAAAACATTTTGATAGCATTCCCTTCATCTATATCACTATTAGCCCATTCATGGTTTCAGCAAAAAAATAATAATAAAAAAAAGAAAAACAAGACTTGGCAGTTAACTTATGTAACATCAGGCACATTTTCTTTATGAAACACTGCTGGGTAATAAGCTGCTTAACCCAAAAGCACCAATACTAACTGCAGAACGTAATGAAAGTTCAAACACAGCGCTGCCAAGCCCCCAGGACAGGGGAGCTGGAAAAAGGCCCACTTCCACAGTTGTGCCTGCAGCATTTTTGAGACATGTCTGAAGAGATTAGCTAGAGCAGAAATGTAAGAAAAAGAATTGTTAAGCAGAATTTGGAGCAATGTATTGCTGTTTTCTGTTTTGTTTTGTTTCCCTGTCCTGATTTATAATCTTGCTGTGAATATTATCCTGTCAAGCTGCACGGGCAGGGTGCCCAGGTGCAGTGCTGGGAGTTCTCCCTAGCCCCCGCAGTGCCCCATAGCGCCAGGCAACCTGCAGAATTACCCACTGTTGCAGTCAAACAGGTTTGTAATCTTCGCTTATCAGTTTGTCCTGCTTCCACAGGAAGGCTGCAATCAGAAAGGAATGCTTGTTTGCTGTGTGCATTGCCACAGAGAAAGCAGGTGGCAGAAAACACAAACGAAAAGGGCAGTCTGTGCTCAGAACATGAGCTAGATTCCCCAAGAGCAGTACTTGCAGGTAGAGATGGTTTTGCTTGGAGAAGCTGACCAAGCTGTAGGATAGGATTGTGGTGACCAGGAGGAACTGCTCTCAGAAGCTACGAACCAGCCAAAGCCAGATCTCAACAACATGCTTTAGCAGCTCACCTTATTTAAATGCAAGACCATGGTAGTACCCATGGAGTTTGCACCCAAGATTATCAGAAAAATCCACTCTTCTCGAGAAACACTCCAATAAACTGTTCCTATAACAAAAACTCCAATAAACTAATTTCCATACCTAATGGAGGTGGCTGAGAGTCACTGACTTACTTTTGCAGGCAGCAAGTTTATTCAGCCTATAGTCTTCCAATAGAGGTATGTACATAAACCAAATAGAATTAAAAAACTCACAGATCACATTCAGCATTCAGAGTGGGGACAGTGTCATCAGAACATCATGAGCTCAGCACGCCTGGTTGCCCAAGTTGTGTACCCTGAGTCAAATTTGCTTAGAAGCACCTCTGATGGACAAGAGGGATGAACCAGTGCTGTACAACCCATGCTGAAAAACATATTGCTAAGTATTCTGAAATACCGTTTTGGTATGGCAAATCAGCCACCCAAAAGTTAAGAAAAACTTAGGCCTAAAATCATGTATCCAGTTTCCTAAGGAAAGATAACCATAAACATCTGAAAATAATCTGACAGTGTTTGCAATTTTTTTGTGA